AAGATGCCACTCACAGATCACCTGTCCCCACTTTTTCTGCCCTTCCAGACACTTTGCTGGCCCCTCTGTCAGAGAACAGCCTCCATTCTGCCTTCAAAAAGACTGTTCACTCTTGAGGCTGAAGGCCACTGGAGAGCCAGAAGCTGGGCATCTTCATCTCTGGCTCAGGGCACAGTGCAGATCAGCACCCAGTGGGAATGTGAGGCCATCGTTTCAAGAGCACAGCCATCTCCACTTATCCTAAATGGAGATAATTTCCATTACAAGAATCAGACCAGCACTGGGGCTGCTTGCAGTCTTGCTGGGAGGCCAGCATTATACAGTACACAATGGGAGAATTACAGGCTAGATCTGAGGCCCCCAGTGACATACAGGCTCAAAGAGGAAATGCAGAGGGAAGCCCAGGAACATAGGGACAAGGAAGAGGGCAGATTTCATAGACCCTGACTAAGTCTGACAAGGGGATACCCCCAACTCTGTCCCCTACCTCTGCATGCGGAGTCACCAATGGGTTCACCCTAACAGCCCTCCATCCCATCTCTATTAAAGGATCATTGTTGTCTTGACCCCTCGCATTACTGTACCTGTCTCCAGCTGTAGGTCCTGAAGCCATACTCCCTCCAATCCATAGTCCCCTCTGCATCCAGCCTCTGGTCAGGTCCTGGGCATTTTGAATGGCTAGTCTGAAGCATTCTTACCGGGTTTAGCAGTCTTATAGAGATTTACCTGTTGGGTAAAAGGAAAACTAGGCATGGACTTAAGACACCAGCAAGTGACTGGATTTAAGATTTCCTATATTTTAAAGTTTGCAGTGATCATGGGGAAATCTGAATTTCATTGGATAAAATAAATCATACATATATTTTTGAAGTTTTATCTTGAACCCACATTGGGGCACCATAACCATCTGCAAATCCAGAGATCTCACCTGCCCACTTGCCCCCCAGTCTCTCCAGGCTTCTCTGAACAGCTCACTCACGTGCTCACCTACTCCAACCCAGCTCCACTGCTGTGTGACTTGGGGGAAGTCCCTTAACCCCTGGGTGCCTCTGTCTCCTCATCTGTTAAGTGAGGTGGGGAATGGGGGGTGCAACTCCCCTATAACAAGGTGTGATCAGGAAAGAAATGACACAGAACATGGCTGGTACACAAACAATGCTAACTATCATCTGCTGTCGTTATGCTCTTTGGAGTCATGGCCTTCACACAAGCTTTTGCTTCTACCTTGAAACACTCCACTCCTAACCAGTTCATTCCGGCTTTCACAGCTCACTTTACCTGTCTCTTCCCGGTGGCTCAGACGGTAAACCGTCTGCCTATAATGCGGGAAGCCCGGGTTTGATCCCTGCGTCTGGAAGATCCTCTGGAGAAGGAAATGGCAATCCACTCCAGCACACTTGTCTGGAAAATGCCAAGGACGGAGGAGACTGGCGAGCTATACAGTACGTGGGGTTGCAAAGAGTCAGACATGACTGACTTCACTTTCCTCCCAGCGCAGCTCCTTAACCATAAATGAATAATCGAGGTGAGATTAGCACCTAGGGAAGGGTCCGTGCAGAATGGTGGTGGTGGTTTAGTCGCTATGTGGTGTACAGCTCTTGGGACCCCATTGACTGTAGTCTGCCAGGCTGCTCTGTCCATGGGATTCTCCAGGCAAGAATACTGGAGTAGGTTGCCATTTCCTTCTGCAGAGTATCTTCCCGACCCAAGTATCGAACCCAGGTCTCCTGTATTGCAGAAAGACTCTTTACCGATAGAACTATGCGGAGCTAGTCAATCGAGGAGTTTCGTGAGGAGCCCTGTCTCAAACCGCTGAGGGCCGTGACAATTAACATGCGCAAAATATCAGGAAGGACACCAGAGCTCCTTGACCCGCGGAGGCATACCTCGCGCGCGGCTGGATCCGCACCGGGGTGCAGAGGGCTCACAGCAAACCTGGCGATGACAGCGCGACTGCTGGAGCTGCTGGGGCGGCCGGCCGGAGACGCCGACGGAGAGCGCGCCGGAGCCAGGTGGGTGGGCTCGCCAGAAGCAGTGATCCAACGCGTGTCAGATGTCCGGGAAGAAGCTCCCAAAGGCTCACGCAAGGGGACTGAGGGGAAGACGCCGGGAGGCCGGCCAGCAGTTGCAGTGACGGGAAACTCAGGCCTGGATGCTGCTGCTAGAGGGATGAGACCCACTCTCTAGACTTTGCTGGTACCCGCGAACCCCTCCACCTCTAGACCCGATTGAGACGTTTCAGGTCCTAGGGCGACACCCCTACACACCAGGCAGGGCTGCCTGGTCACTTCGCGGGTCAGACGAAGAGCTGGGATCCGGCTCCGGCAGGACGATCAAGGAAGGACACGCCTCCGCGGAAGCGCAGGGTCTGATCTCCCCGACCGTGATTCTACCCTGGGTCCCCAGGCCCAGTCCCCGCGCCCGCCCGACAGCGCAGCCAGGGAGGGAGGGGAGCCCAGGACGACAGCTAGGCCCCCGACAGCACGACTGCTGATTTCTCGCCGGATCATCTACAACCAGCTGTATCTCAAGTCTCCACCACCAGCCATACAGAGCCCCTTCCCAGAGCCTTGTCCCCGCCCCCGCACCCCCATTGGTCGGGTCCGAGGGGCGGGACCCGACGGCTCCCAGCTGGACTGAGAGGCGGCCGCGGGCCCTCGGAGCGGTACAGACACGGCCCGCACCTCCCCGGACCCGACGGCCGCTCTCCCTGCGCCTCTAAGCTGAGCGGCCTCGGCAGCAGCCGGACTGTCGGGCGCAGCGGAACGGACAGACTAGCCGACCGTCCCTGGTTCCCGGAGGAGCCCCTTCCCGAGGCGGTGCGGCCGCAGCCGACGGTCCGGGAGCTCTAGGGACCGCGCCGCGTTCGCGGGCGACCCACGCCCCGTCCCGCCGGCCCCAAGCCAGGCCTCGCGCCCCCCGCCGCCCTGCTGCCGGCGTCCGCGCCGCTCTTCATGCTCGACCTGTACCGCGCCGTGGCCAGCGACGACGACGAGGATGGCGGGGCCCCCGAGCGGCGCCTGGGCCGCGCAGACCTGGTCATGAGCTTCGTCAACATGGGTGAGCGCGGGTCCCGGGCGGGCGGCGGCGACCCCGGGGGAAGGCAGCGAGCTGAATGGCCCCACGGGGGCTGAGTGCTAGCGACTGGGGCGTGTGTGCCACCTCGGGCAGGGGGAGCGCCTGCTGGGGGCGGGGAGTCACGCTGTCGTGGACAAGGACCTGCGGAGGAAAACCTGCCCGGCTCAGGGATGTGGGGGTCGGTGAGCTGCTGGACCGACAGGGACGGACGAAGAATGTGAGTCCAGAGGCGCGTACCTTCACCCGCCCCCAGACACCCCGACGTAAGATCCTGTAGTGTCGGGGGGACCCGGTAGTGCCAGGAAGACAGTCTGGTCCTGGCGAGACGGATGAGTAAGCAGAGGCCGTGATGCTGTCCCTGTGATAAGGGCGGTATGGAGAGCAGGACAAAGTTCACGTGGAAAACCCTGTCAGGCATTAAAGCACCAGAGTTGAGGTGAGGACCCAGATGTCCTGAGCCCACACTGAGCAGCCTCTTCCCTGGGCCACCTAGGGGTGGGAGCAGGGGAGGGGAAGGCATGGACTGAGCTCAGTGGGGCAGAGACTGTGGTCTTGTCACCCTGGGCCCACGTCTGGGACTTATCTTGTCAGGAATGAGTGTCCAGGCCCAGTGAATGACCCGATGGGCAGTTTGGACTCCCTTTGTTCTCCCAGGCAAAGCCCAGCTTTTGCTCTCTGCAGAAATTCTCCAAATCGTGAAACCATTTACCCTTAAAGTTCTCAAAGATCACTTTGTCCATAACTAAACTTTCTTTAATCTACATTCATGAACATAGGTCTCCCATCCGCTTTGTTTCCTGCCTGTGGCCAGTGAGGGGCAGGGGTCTGGGCTGCGGCAGACACCAGGCTAGACCTGGGGACCAAGGACCATAGATCAGGCCCAAGTGGGAAAAGCCGTGGGACCCAGAGTGGGGACAGGCCCCTGGCCAGGGCCACCAGCCTCCCTTCACCTTGCAACCCTCCCAGCAACACTGTCAGCAGACATGATACTCATCCCCATCTCCCGGATGAGGACAGTGAGGCTCAGAGAAGCGGTATCTTGCTCAGGACAATGTGACCTCCGTGTGGCCGAGCCAGGACAGGCTCAGGTTGTTTGGCTCTCCATCCCGGGCTCAAGATGACAGTTCTGTGTGAGGAGGGCAAGCTTTCATGGTGGAAAGAGCTGTCAGAGGGGTTTCGGCAGAGGGACCCAGGGGTCAGAGTGACAGCAGTTTTTGTGTGTCTTCAGCCATTTGCTTCCTATGGTAGAGCAAGAAGAGGGGACAATCTGGGAGGCCTGTCCCCTCAAACCAGACCTGGTGATGGGTTCAGGTGGGAGAGCGAGCCCCAGGAGGCAGCTGTTAACCTCTGCTGAGAGCCCTGTGCCAGGCTCAGGACTTGGGCTGGTGGATTCTAGATGCCACCTTCGTGGTTAGAGATGGACGGGGTGGGGAGCTGGGGACAGAGGCATCCATATGTGGAACTGAGGCTGGAGCTCTGTGCTGGGGACAAGCTGACTCTGGGCACAGGACCAAGAAGAGCTGTGGTTACAGTCCCCCTGAGAATGCCCCCACGGGAGCCCTCCATCTGCGTGAGTCACCTCTTCCCCAGGTCCCTCTTCCCCAGCACCCCCAGGGCAAGGGGTACACAGCCCTGGTGGGCGCTGCTGCTGTGAGTGAGCAGCACCCTGAGCTCAGGAGGACCTGGCTCCCCTCTTGCCTCTGCTGTGTGGTCCTGGGGAAGCCCCTGCCATCTCTGAGCCTCAGATCTCTCCTTGTAAAATGGGGCTCCTCATGGTCTGTCCTCAGAGTTGTGAGATAGATTGATAGAGGGGAAGGAACAGAAAGTCAACCCCCTTTTAGGAGGAAACCAGCCCTGGTGAGTGCTGACCGCAGTCTCTCCCAGCTGCTGCTCAGCCTTGGTGTGGATGTGTGGAAATGTCCCACCTGTCTATAGACACACGAGACCCAGAAACAGATTTTTAAAGCCAACCAAAGGTGTCTCTGTTTTTGAATAAAAATTAACATTTGAAGTTCCATAGTCCTTTCAATACTCATTTCATCCATGTAGCAACTTGTGAAGCTGTTTTACCAGCCATGGGCTCAGAGAGGTTAAATAAGCAACCCAGGGCTACACAGCACATCTGCGGTATCATCCAGACCGTGGATTCCAAATTCCAGTTTCTTCCCACGCCACCTCTGCATGTTTCATGGAGATCTAAGGCCTGTGATGCTGTGGATTAACAAGCCGATCTTTGTTCAGGGGAAGCCTGGTCTGTGGGCAGGTCCAGCCAGCTGTCAGAGGGCCTTCTTTATTCCGATGTACTAATTGCACTAGTAAAACTCCTTCAGTTGGAGCAGTTTAACTGGTAATTACGTGGGCTGATGTGGGGATTAGGCACCTACCAGGGCTGTTTCCTGCTTTGGGGGCCCCGGCGCTGGGCTCCTGGAGGTCGGCGGGCCCTGGACCACCGTGGAGTCCAACAGCAGAGTCGCTGTGGCGTCAGCGCCCACGCCGAGGCTCCCACACCTGTGGCCTCCAGCTCGCCTCTGCTGACCTCATGGCTCCTGAGAGGCCAGGCCCGGGGCTTTCTGGGCCCTGACCCTCAGCAGCACCCGTAGGACCCGGGAGCCTGGGCCTCTCAAAGGCTCCCGTCCAGGGGTCTGGCCTCCGTCCGAGCGGACACTTCCAGGGCCGAGTTGTGACTACCAGGGCCTGTGCTGGGGGCCAGGGCTGCGGTCAGAGCTGGGCCCCGCCTGGCCTGCCTATCGGTCTCCGCCCGTGGACTCTTGGCTCCCCTTGGCCAGGACACAGAGATAGGGCTGGGACCTCGAGGAGTGGACAGAGCTGGTCCCTGGTGTCACCTGAGCTCCGGGGAGGAGACCCTGAGCTGGGAGGCAGCACCCAGGGTCTCGGCCCTCCTGGGCCCGCCGTGGGTTCCTGCACGTCCCCCCCTTTTCTGGTCCCGTCTCAGCACACCGCCCACCCCTCCACCCAGCTCAGGTGTGACTGGCTGGACCCCGAGTGTCTCAGGCCAGCCTGGCCCCTCCAGAGAGAGGAATGAGGCAGGAGAGACACCTCTCATGTTCCTCCTGAATCCTTCCCCACCTCCTGTCCGCAGAGCGAGGGTGCCCATGCTCCAGACTGGGAAACTGAGGCACAAACGGCACTGCAGGCTGACGTGTAGTCAGAACTGAATGGGACTGTCTTCTCCTTTATCCTGACCCTTCCCTGAGCTGGACTCACTCATTCCCGTGGGCCCGGGCAGCTGAGGAGAGGGGTGGGAAGGAGCTGAGGCTCTTGGATTCAGGGAGGCAGGACTCCGTGGGGGTGAGGGGCCTGCCCGGGGCCTGTTCAGCCCCTGACCTTGAAGGGGTGACCCTTCACCCCCATGAGCCCCGGGGTCACTTACTTTGGTTCCTTACTATGGAATTCTTTGATATTTTCCTGAATTCACTCAACAAACCGTCGTGTGGTGCTTGCTCTGTCCAGGCTCCATTCCAGCTCCTGGAACATAAGAGGGAAGGAAGCAAAGGCCCTCCTGTGGAGCTGGCCTTCTGGTGGGAGAGACACGCGTGCGTCAGCCGCGAGGTGACGGTCACTGGTCTACGGGGCCGCCCTCTCTGGGTGTCGGGAGGGGATGGACAGCGTGAGGACAGGCAGGACTGGGCGGGGGGTTCTGACCTGGGCCCGGAATTTGCATCTTGACTCCGCCTCCTACTCTCAGTGTGATCTGGACTCTCCAGTCCGCCTCTCGGAACCTCAGTCTCCTCCGCTGTAAACGGAGATACTCACGGTTCCCCCCTGGAGGCTGCTCAGGGATTGTGTGAGCTGACACCCAGTGACGAGCACGTGCCGAGACCCTCCACGTCTGTCCTTTCATCTCATCTCACAAGTACTGTCACGTCTTTGTTTTCAAAGGCTCAGAGAAGTTAGGCGGTTTTCCCGAGGCCACACAGCTGGTCATCTTCCAGCCTGTGTATCTTCTGCTCTTGTCCTACACAGAAGTGGCCTCTCCCCCCAGCCCAGGGACTATCATTAGGTGCAGTGCATGCTGCTGAATTGGACTGAGTTGAATGTATGTTGTAAACTGAGAATCCTATTTTTAAAGTGTCTTTATTGTTTTGGGATTTAGAGATAAAGCATGCGCACTGTACAAAATTCAGTTTGCAGAGGAACATGCAGAATGAGTGCCCCTGGGAACCCTCCTCCTACCAACCCATCCCCTCAGGCAGAGCCACTCTCTGATTTCTGTCACCAGCCAGTCCTTTGGTCTGCTCTTGAGCTTCATGTCAATGGAACCATAGCACATACTCTGGGTCTTTCACACAACAAGTTTTTATTGAGATTCATCCATGTTTCTGTTGTAAATATTGTTCAATATAAATGAGTTGTCTTGCATTGTAAACCATTCTTATTTGGGACATTTGGGTTGTTTCCAGTTTGGGGTTGTACATAGAACTGTCTAAATATCCTTGTACATATCCTTATACACAGGTATACTAAACCTGGATTTTCATCCTGGCAGCGCCACTTGGGAGCTGTGAGACATCATACAGCTTCCTTTTAAAGTCTCTGCACCTCGTTTCCTTCACTTTATAACAAGGTTCATAAGGACGACCTCCCGGGTTGTGTAGGATTGGTGATACATGCTCTTAGGTCAGATGCACAGTAGGAGAATAATATGTGGGAACTGATGTATCACATCCTATTTCTGAGCCCTTGCTCACATTGTACCCTCTGCATAGAGAACACTCACCTCCGTTTCTTCTACAAAGGATGGGCAGGGGTTTACATAAGTCTGACTCTTCCTACCCCGCTCCTCCCAAGGAGACAGACTGCTTCCATGATCAGAACCCTCACCCTTGATCACTTGTTTCTTAGGATTCTGCCTGTATGATCTGGGGGCACATCTAACCTGTCTTTTTGCCACCTCCCCCCCAGGAAGCTATGAATAACCTGAGAACAGGGACCAAACATGAGTCTCATGGCAAAACACACCCCCAACCAAACCCCCCCCCCCCAGCCCCGCCCC